TCATGTGATTCTTATCTATAAAATATAATAAATAAATAAAAAGAAAGGAATGTGCGATGTTCTAACCATGAAGTAATAAATAAATTCTAAATCATATTTGTATATAGGAAAACCTCTATCATATATTTTGGTTATTGTAAATTGTATATAATCTTGGCAAAACCATGTAAACAATCTTAAGTAAACAAATTAAAGTGCTATTTGATTAATTATATAGTATATTCTATAACACTTACCTGTTTTGCACCTGGTACATAATTTTTAGGAATACCTTCCGTATTAATCGTATTAATCGTTATAATATCTTTCTTAATTTTTTCATGAGAATTCAGATTAAAATTTTTATCAGTTCTTTATAGGAATATATTAGAATTTGTTGCTGTGTCACATTTCCATTGTATATCAAAGATTGGGAAGAACAGGTCAATTGTTATATAAAATTTGGCTAATTTTCTTATCAACTATCAAATGATCATTGTTTAATTGAGATCAATATTTTAACTAGGTTTTCCAAAAAAGAAAATTATAATTGATCTTAGGGCATAATTATGTTTCATTGGTTCTTTTAGTCTTGGATTTTTCCAAATTCAAAATTTTATAATTTCATGATTGTCGAATGTGTAATTCTGCTAGTCAGGGGGGGGGGGGGATGGGGATGGAAGACCTAAGCTTGCACTTTCCAGTACCATCCATGAATAGGCTCAATAAAACTGACCCTGCAACATTTTCAACTTTGCAATTTTGGAAGTTCTTTGATGATTCTATTTCTCTCTATTTCAAACAGCATTTTTCTCTCTGTTTCAAGCAGCATTGTTACTTTTATATATTTGCTGCAAGTTACTGTATTGTCTATTATCTACAAGATTATAGAAAACTGATTTTTTATTGCATGTAAAGATTTCAGAGATTTTCCTGGAATTGTCAGTCTACAAGAAATGAATGTTCTTAAATTCTAACTTAGTTGCCTCCCAGTCTGTTTCATCTAGTTGTAAGAACAGTTCATCAAAACTTTGATGATCACAAATTACTGCCTACATATACTATTGAAATTGTATTGTAGAGTTTTATTAGCCACTACATCGTTTTAACAGATAGGAACAGAATTTTTTTTTTCAAAAAGAGAGAGAATCATTATCAGTGATTACCCATTTCACAGTTTCTAGAAAATTGGTTCTTTGTAATTTTGAATGTTGGAAAATTACTTTTCCTTAACATGTCTATAATGTCACTATCTATTTTTCAATGTTCTCTATATTTTATTTTTGTTCTCAGCTTATTAATATCATGTTTAAAGCTGCACGTTGCAAGTTGTGAAAACAATTTAGTTTTTTGAAAATATCAAACTAGAGTTTCAGAAAGGTGCTGAATATTCAAACTTTACATTGTTAATACAAACTAAGACTGAATATTCATATACTTGTAATTTTTTAACATTTCATCTTTTTAAACAGACAAAACCATTCACATTTTTTTAGGAAAAATGTCAAAATATGACCATGATCATCTGACACGGATGTTCTGGCTCAGATCTTGGTCTGCAGTGGTCACACAGAAAAAATCTGTGGTTGCCAGGTGTCTTAAGGTTAAACATCTTTTCGAACAGCAAACTCACATATAAAACCAAATAAAATATTATAATGGTTTTTGAGCATTATCATATCATGTTAGTAATGGTTGGCTGTTCTGGTAATTTGTTATGTTTTAGTTGGCAATAATGTACATTTATGTTGTCCTGGAAATTTGTTATACTGTATTTGGCAATAATGTACATTTATGTTGTCCTGGTAATTTGTTATGTTTTAGTTGGCAATAATGTACATTTATGTTGTCCTGGTAATTTTTTATGTTTAAGTTGGCAATAATGTACTTTTATGTTGTTCGGGTAATTTGTTATGTTTAAGTTGGCAATAATGTACATTTATGCTGTTCTGGTAATTTGTTATGTTTAAGTTGGCAATAATGTACATTTATGCTGTTCTGGTAATTTGTTTTGTTTTAGATGGCAACAATGTACATTTGTGCTGTTTCTGTAATTTGTTATGTTTTAGTTGGCAATAATGTACATTTGTGCTGTTCTGGTAATTTGTTATGTTTAAGTTGGCAATAATGTACATTTATGCTGTTCTGGTAATTTGTTATGTTTTAGTTGGCAATAATGTACATTTATGCTGTTCTGGTAATTTGTTATGTTTTAGTTGGCAATAATGTACATTTGTGCTGTTCTGGTAATTTGTTATGTTTTAGTTGGCAATAATGTACATTTGTGCTGTTCTGGTAATTTGTTATGTTTTAGTTGGCAATAATGTACATTTGTGTTGTTCTGGTAATTTGTTATGTTTTAGTTGGCAATAATGTACATTTATGCTGTTCTGGTAATTTGTTTTGTTTTAGATGGCAACAATGTACATTTGTGCTGTTCTGGTAATTTGTAATGTTTTAGTTGGCAATAATGTACATTTGTATTGTTCTGGTAATTTGTTATGTTTTAGTTGGCAATAATGTACATTTGTCTTGGTAATTTGTTATGTTTTAGTTGGTAATAATGTACATTTCTGCTGTTCTGGTAATTTGTTATGTTTTAGTTGGCAATAATGTACATTTGTACCTTGGCAATAATGTAAATTTGTGCTGTTCTGGTAATTTGTTATGTTTTAGTGGGCAATAATGTACATTTATGCTGTTCTGGTAATTTGTTATGTTTTAGTTGGCAATAATGTACATTTGTGCTGTTCTGGTAATTTGTTATGTTTTAGTTGGCAATAATGTACATTTATGCTGTTCTGGTAATTTGTTATGTTTTAGTTGGCAATAATGTACATTTCTGCTGTTCTGGTAATTTGTTATGTTTTAGTTGGCAATAGTGTACATTTGTGCCTTGGCAATAATGTACATTTGTGCTGTTCTGGTAATCTGTTATGTTTTAGTGGGCAATAATATACATTTATGCTGTTCTGGTAATTTGTTATGTTTTAGTTGGTAATAATGTACATTTCTGCTGTTCTGGTAATTTGTTATGTTTTAGTAGGCAATAATGTACATTTATGCTGTTCTGGTAAATTTGTTATGTTTTTAGTTGGCAATAATGTACATTTCTTCTGTTCTGGTAATTTGTTATGTTTTAGTTGGCAATAGTGTACATTTGTGCCTTGGCAATAATGTACATTTGTGCTGTTCTGGTAATCTGTTATGTTTTAGTGGGCAATAATATACATTTATGCTGTTCTGGTAATTTGTTATGTTTTAGTTGGTAATAATGTACATTTCTGCTGTTCTGGTAATTTGTTATGTTTTAGTAGGCAATAATGTACATTTATGCTGTTCTGGTAATCTGTTATGTTTTAGTGGGCAATAATATACATTTATGCTGTTCTGGTAATTTGTTATGTTTTAGTTGGTAATAATGTACATTTCTGCTGTTCTGGTAATTTGTTATGTTTTAGTAGGCAATAATGTACATTTATGCTGTTCTGGTAATTTGTTATGTTTTAGTTGGCAATAATGTACATTTCTGCTGTTCTGGTAATGTAAAAACGTTATGTTTTAGTTGGCAGAATATGCCATGTTCTTGTAATATTGAGCTCTTGCAGTGATATATAATGTTCTGAAAATAAATTCTATCATTCTGAATGGCTAGGAAATGGTCTTTAGTTTCTGTTTTTAGTAGAATATAATGTTTGAAAACATAATATTAGTGATAATTGCAACATTAGTAATGCAATTAAGAAATTAAAGCAAATAAAAACTATGATCATTATTTTGATGCCTTACAAAACACCTGTCAAGAGTATATAGAAAGATTAATTTCTTGAGATATTGAGTAATGTTAGAGGTTTAAAGATAAATCTCATGCAAAAAATGAGTCATAAAAATAAGCACAAAAATTTGCTTTACTGTGAGTCTCAAAACATGTAGACATATCATCACATTTATTGGAAACATTTGGGGAAAATATTTATAAAAATACATTGCAGGTTTCAACCACCCTCACAGACTTGATATAAAAATCTTATTTTAAATACCAGTATACTATCAATTCAAATTCCCATTTAAACAATATATTATATGAAGCAATATTTATTATATAAAATGAGAGATTTACCTTCCAGGCAACAAAAGACTATCCTCTTTATTTGCTGGTCCATCTTAACAAGACTGTAATAGTAAATTATGTTATTTGTAAGCTTTTTGTACATTATTATTGTGCTATAGTCTAATGAACAGAACAGAACAGAACATTTCTGTTCTGCTATATCTATGACTTTAAGAAAACACAAATTGTATACAAACTGTAGTCTGGAATGAGATCTACAACAAAACGTCATTTTATTATAATTGAATATACAGTTTTAATTAATACATTTGAGGCATGTATTGTAAGAGCTGATTTATGAGTACATTAACTTGTTACTATAGTAATTTGCTGCCATGGATTTTAGAACAATTTTCATACTTGTCACACTTGAAATCCTCAGACCAAGCAAGATGCGCTTAGATTATATGCAAGTTTCAGATCAAGGTTGATTTAAGAAATAATATATCCCAAACTGTGATTTTATTGCTCAATAACATCACTGTCTGGAGTTCGGATGCGAGGAATTATATCATGAGGGCATAGCCATGCTCATCCGAACGACAAACAGTGATGTTATCCAGCTATAAAATCACCAATTTGGATATATTATTTCGATTATAACACGACATAAACAAATAAATGTTGCTGTACCTAATATTTATCAAAATTGTGCCTAATTTGTTTCCGTACTTAGTGTCAGCGCGTGGGATTTTGTAGATGTTACGTCACATGTATAATGATTACGTCACATGTCTAAATATAGAACGTGAAACAGTTATTTTATAGCATAATAATACACACTTTCGGTTCTTCGATGTTCAATAGGGAAAAATGCGGGTGGTGTTAGAATTGTTTATAATAAACATATTTGCTTAAGAATTTATTACTTAAATATGTAACATAATTTTATGACATCATATATTTTCAGGTGTTACCTTGGTGAGGGAGCCATGTTGATGTGTACAGATAGAAAATATAACCATATCATATTAAACTTAAAAACTGAGATCGGAATTGGATGAACGAAACAGTATTTTTGATGCATCGTTAATACCCTGTGCTGGATTGAGACACTCTGTAGATGCATTTACAAAACCCTGTGCTGGAATCAAAAGTGAAATGTCTGAAATACAGCCTGGTATGAAGAGCAGCTCTTGGACACATCAAGAAAATAGCGAGCTTTTGTCTGTTGAAAAAGACCTTGTGCGAAGAAAGGAATTTTAAGAAATTAACATATTGGGATTTTTTACTTTTGATGAAGTTACTAAAACTGGTTTTGTAATCAGGAATGTTGTGAGGCATCTTATTTTATCAAAGGAACAACAGTGAAATTCTGCTGTACTTATTGCATTGCAAAAACAATGGAAACTTGAATATTTTAAAGAATGATCGACATTGCAACAACAGTTATGAAATGTGTTGTTTTTCTCTGTGAGACTGACTAGGTGTAACAAATTTAAATTTAATATCTTCTAATGGTGAATGTTCTGTAGCAGCAGCAACAGCAAAAACAACAAAAAAACACCAACAAAGTGAAAATATTAAAAATTGTTTGGTAACTCAGCTATAAAGAAGTGTTTATACCAAATGATACCACAGATAAAATGTTTTAGACAAAAATAAGACAGTATAGAAAGGTGTTTTTCTTAGTCAAAGTATAGTTAACACGATTTTAAAATGTTAGTTTGCTGGGGAAAACTGCTTCTACCCATACGACCAGTACAGTCCAAGATTCAAGTCAGCACACCGGACATGTTGTCTGGTCATGGCTGGAACTGTTTGTGATTCACTCGGTACTTATTTTGAAATTTTCCCTTAAAATGATAAATGCTTTTGTATGGATTGATTATTATTCAGCATGATATGGGTAAATTAGTTTGCCTGGGGTAATAGGACATCAGATAAAAGAAGAAGAATATATCTGAACAACATTACATATTTTGTGTAGAAATTGTTTATTTCTTTGAAGTAAAACAAGAATGTTTTCCTTTAAATTTTTTTCAATGAAAACAAAGAAAAATTATTTGCAGCTTTAGGGGAAAATATGAGAATAACAGTACCTAATGTTTTTTTCTTGGGGTGGGGGGATGGGGATAAACAATTGTCCATGTTAAATGTGGTAACATAGAGAAATAAGCTGTTAATATGTTATTGTTCTATTTTTTATTTCTGATTGAAATGATGCTGTTGAAGTAAAAGTATTGTATTAATGTTTGTCCACAGCAGATTATTACTGTGTTACAGAATGTAGAAATATTATTTTCAGTTCTGGCTTCAAGGTTATAAATCTTTTTTTCTCTGAGTTCAGTCTCATATCTCAGGATTTTCATTGGTTTGTGTACATTCTGTGCTTGTGTCAAATACTGGAGGTCTGAGTTTGAGCTTAGAAAGTTTGTTTATAAACCCTTGCCTTGTTGTGATTCTCTTTGTTTTAAGATTTTTTCCCCTTAACCCTGACTTCCCTGCACTATTTTAAATGGACTTTTCCAGCTTCCATTATCAAACAAGGCGATATCAAAATTAAAGGCCTATTATGCCTCTGAAATACTATCTTTTTTATTTCACATTTTTCTTTTGTATCTTTTTACAGTTTCCGAAAATAACTGTTTGCTTGTTTTGCTCTATTCATAATTGGTATAATTATAGTGAATAAGTATTTTGTATAGAAGTTAAATACTACTTTGTTTACATTTTGTTTCCTTTATGACACATTACTGCACATTCAGTTGTTAAACATCTAACATGCTTTAAATCCATTATATAAACATTATTAAACACATGTTTTATATTTTTCAAGAATGAAAAAAATCTGGATTTCTAAGACATTATGTGCCTTTAAGTTAGGTTAGCCAATTATAAAAAAAATTTCCAGACTGGCTCTATACTGGTAGCAAAGGCTAATAACTTAGTTCCAGCATGGCAAGGGTTAAAATGTGGAAACCTAAGTCCACTAATGTGCAGTCTGACAAGTTTTTCAATTGCTTGCAAATTGATATATATATCCCCACAAAAGATTGATAATGGAACCTAAATATTATGAAAACTGGACAAGTCCTGAAAGCAGGATAAAGGCTTAAATATGCATATCTATTTTCTGTTGTTTTAATTAATTATGCATTGGTTATATACATGTATGTTGTACCTAATTGATTTTAAGAAACAAAAGCTGTTCTTTTGAAGGTGCTTTAATATAATTCACAGTTCTGAAAATGAATTTTGACATAAACAAGGAACTGTTGAAGAAAGCAAACAATATAACATGTTCATTTAGAAGTAAGGCACATTTTTACTGTTTATCAACTAAAAATAAGTAATCTAGAAATAACATATGAAGAATAATATGATAGCTTTATCAAATACCTTTGTTTTAGTAAATATAAAATAAATGTACTATAAATATTAATCAATGAATTAATTAACAATAGAAATTCATCAACAATTAATTTATAATGAATCTATTCATCAATTAATTTATAATGAATCTATTCATCAATTAAATAATTTATAATGAACATTCATCAGTTAATTATGAACATTCACAAATATTATTAATCAATTTACATGTATAATGAATATTCATCAATAAATCAATTTATAATGAACATTCATCAATTAATTATGAACGTTCACCAATATTATTAATCAATTTACATGTATAATGAATATTCATCAATAAATCAATTTATAATGAACATTCATCATTTGACCACTTTATTTATTGTATCTGTCAAACTAACAACATAAATTTATTGTAGGATATCTGATATAATTTTCTATATCCTTTAATTTATGTTTTTAATTTTCAACTTGGAGGTCGTGTAATGGATGGATCTCAATAGGAATGATTACATACATGTAGTTTATAAGTTAATTAGTTGTTCTATTTTCTTGTTTTATATTATGTTGCAAAAACATGACAAGTGGCTGTTAGTAAGTTTAGAGTACAGGCATATAAAGTGAAGGACCACTTCTTATGAAGGGAATTATTTCCTTTGACAGCTATTGAAATTCAAGTTTATTTTCTTTGAGGATATGTTTTGTTTTTGATGATTTTTTTTCCATCTATTCATGTATTGAAAGACTTGATGTTTAACCTGTTGGTGATAACGTATTCTACACTTGCAACCAGTGCAGACCATCATCAGACTGGACATCGTTAATGTTTTTGCTGAAGTTTTTGTTCATTTCAAAGCTATTCCCTTTAAACTTGATATGCTTACAAGTTTATATCAAAATGTGATCCCATATCACAAGGGCAGATAATTCATTATTATATTTTGTAAAGTCACCCCGGTTTTAAATAAGTTTTTTTTTGTTTTTGCCTAGATTTTCCTTTTTTGTAAGATTAATATTTCAAAAATCAACAAATACACTTTAAACATTGAATTGTTGTTCATTTCAAAACTGAAATGCATTTATTGGTAAAGGGCATATAACCCTGAAAGATATTTACTTCAATTTTAAAATGCTTGTTTACTATTTAGACAGGTTATTCTGCCAGGCAGTTTTTGTAGAATTATACCATCTTTTATCTTACTATTCAATACTTATAATGAAAAATGGAGTGCTCAGTGTTTCATCAATAATTAATTACAGAGCAACAGTAAATGTTGATTTTTATGCCCCCGCCATGTAATGGCCGGGGCATATAGTGTTACCCTGTTCCGTCATTCCGTCCTTCCGTCCTTCCGTCCTTCCATCCTTCCGTCATTCTGTCATTCCGTCATCATCAGTTTCCGTTCATTATCTTAAGAACGGTTGCACACATTCAACTCAAATTTGACATATGGATATGTCATGAGAAAATACAGGTCAAGTTCGAATTTGGTCATGGTTCGATGATTTTTGGCAGAGTTATGCCCCTTTTACTTTGAAAATAATATGAAATTTCAGTTTCCGTTCATTATCTCCCCAATGGTACAACACATTCAACTCAAACTTGACATATGGATATGTCATAAGAAAATACAGGTCAAGTTCGAATTTGGTCATGGTTCGATGATTTTTGGCAGAGTTATGCCCCTTTTACTTTGAAAATAATATGAAATTTTCAGTTTCCGTTCATTATCTCCCCAACGGTACAACACATTCAACTCAAACATGACATATGGATATGTCATGAGAAAATACAGGTCATGTTCGAATCTGGTCGTGGTTCGATGATTTTTGGCAGAGTTATGCCCCTTTTACTTTGAAAATTATATGAAATTTTCAGTTTCCGTTCATTATCTCCCCAAAAGTACAACACATTCAACTCAAACTTGACATATGGATGCGTCGAAGGAATGCGCCGGTCAAGTTCAAATTTGGTCATGGTTCAATGATTTTTGCCAGAGTTATGCCCCTTTCACTTTGAAAGTAATATGAAATTTTCAGTTTCCGTTTATTATCTCCCCAGTGGTACAACACATTCAACTCAAATTTGACATATGGATATGTTTTTGGAATGCCCAGGCCAAGTTCGAGTTTGGTCATGGTTCAATGATTTTTGGCAGAGTAATGCCCCTTTCACTTTGAAAATAATATGAAATTTACAGTTTCTGTTCATTATCTACCCAACAGTGTTACATATGCAACTTAAATTTGACATATGGATATGTCAAAGGAATGGGCAGGTCAAGTTGGAATTTGGTCATGGTTTGATGATTTTTTGGCAGAGTTATGTCCCTTTCACTTTGAAAATAATATAGATACATCTTAGGAATAAGCAGTTTAAGTTTGAATTTGGTTGTAGTTCAATGATTTAAGACAAACTTATCTTTCCTGAATGTTGGAAAAATTTTGAACTTTCACTTTCAGCACTCTTACTTTTAGCCATTATTTTGGCTACAAATATGCAATATGCTATTTTTAAAAGGTTTAGACTGAATAATTTCAGTGCCTTGAACATTGTATGAAAATGGTTTGTGTTAACATTGAAAAGTTTTAAGGGCTTTGAACTTAAAACGAAAAAAATAATTAAAGCACCATCTGAAATTTTGGCTGCATGCGGGGGCATCCGTGGCATGATGACACATTTCTAGTTCATGATGTCTTAATCCATTCAAAGTGCTGAAAAACTCAAAAGTTTTAACATATTCATTTATTTATGTGTATTAAAATTTTGACAGTATCTCTATGAATTGTTGACAGTGTGATGTAATTGTTATATGTTATAAAATAAATGTCTTATAATATGAAGCTGGTAAAAGCAAGATTTTTAAGTGAATGATACCTGGTTATAAAAGTATGATATAATGAAAGTTGAATTTTATCATTTATTCACATGATAGTTGTTTATGTGGATTTCATGTGTATCAATTATACATACATGTGCTTATATTACTTATATAAGTGAATTAAATCAGACATTTACATATCTTTATATGAATAATCTTAGATTTGGTCTTTCAGTATATTTAAGATTGGTTTAATATGTTTTGTGCTATATATTCAAATAAAAGTGGAGATATCCTTATACCCCTGTCTGATCTCCAGTGTAATGCTTGCTTGATTAAAGTTTTTGTTTGACTTTTGTAAAAATTGTTTAACTGAACAATCTCCATAACTCTTGCATTGTTTTTAATGAGAATTTCCTCGATTCTGAACTGAGATAATTACTAAATATATGACTATCTCAATAATTGGCTATCTCAATATATGACTATCTCTGAGAATAGTCATGTGTGCTGTCAATCTGTCATTTCTAGCAATTATTTTTTTCCATCAAGTCATGTTTGTTTGAAATATCCAATCAAATTCTTAAAATCTTTGTTTGGTTTCCTAAAATAATACCTCACTAGCTATGTTTAATCAAAAAACTTCAGTTATTTGTTTTGAAAAACTTGTTTTTAAAAAAAATTGAAATCATCACTTTGAGAAAGATAACTGTTTCTTTTTTTTATGAATTATGTATTGACTAATTGTTAAAATTCTTTGAATGTTTTTTTTTTAATTGTTTAAAATTTAAGTAAAAATGTATGTTCAAGTTTGTGGCAGATAATTTATATAAAAAAAATGTTTGTATATATGAGAAATTTT